CCCCCACTACCGCTATTGGCACGAGTTGATCCTCCTTAGTTCTAGTCTTCTTGGACGCAGAAAAATGATATCCCCACTATTTATCACGTGACCAATTTAGTTCGCTATCTCGTGTTAGAATAGATAATATTCATTAGAGCTATCGAGATAATTCCTATCAAACTGATTCAAGTCGTTTAATTGAATGAATCTAGTTACAACTAAACTTGACAACGGAGTTGTTGTTAATTTGAGCATCGTTCTTGTTCGGTTATTTATTCTTGCTTTACGTCGGTCTTTTGAATAAGAGCGATGCGATCTCGTTTCTATTAATTAAGTGATAAATCTTATAAGGCCTTACAAGTACTCCGAATACTTTTACTGTGAGATTACAAACTACAGCATATAAGAAAAAGAACTAACACAACTAAGACTGAGATGTGCATGTATTCGTGGTATAGAAATTAAGACCTCTAAAAATAAGTTTTACATTCTTACAATCAAATTTGTCAAGGTAAACTATATATTTGTTATTTCTAAAACACAACGTTAAACAGACGTTATTATTATTATGTTCTCTATGTTGTCTTTAAATAATAATAAATATTCTTGAATTAAACATTATGTGTGAATATCTCATTCTATATAGCTCTGAATATTTTTAATGATAAAAGCTTACATATTCAGGCTCAATTAAATATAATTTGACAAGATTGCAATTTGAGTTGTTCAACATCTCGTGAATCCCTTTTAGGTGGCGCTAAACTGTCCGCACTTTCCAAGTGGAAGTTTGAACCCTCTGCCTATCGCAGCCATTACACATTAGGTGACCACGTGACCATTTTATTCCTACGTCACGCTATGGCTGCATTCCATTTAACGCTCACAACGCTCGCGAAATCATTTCATTCTTGTTTATCAAATGTTAAACAAGGACGATACTCGCGAGCGTTAAGTAGAACGCAACCTATTATTACGTTTAGAGTGAAATCACATGGTGTGGAAAAGGACTGCGGAATAGGGAATGCGTCATTGAAGCAATTAATCAGCGCTATTCGGAATAGAAATAACAGAGAAAGAAATGCAGCGTTAGACAGAGACCTCTGTTACACGGCACGCTTAATCGAAACTGATCAATCACAATCGTTCCATTTTTGCGAGGAACAGCTGTGATTGGTTAATTTCATAACTATGGATGTTATTAAACCCGATTAAGGCCCAGTTCCACAATTCACGGTTAAGAGTTAACCGTGAGTTGTGGAACTGGACTTTATTAGGATGTAAATGTAGTCAGAGATATTAATATATTTCTGTTATCGATTTTGTTAAAATTACTACCCCGCATACAAAAGTCGGCTCAAATCGTCTCGTGTCGCGACTCTGATTAGAGGATCTCTAGATTTTTACCCACAACTATATACAAATTTATTAATCAAATATTTAAATACTATTTCAAATATTAGAATAAATATTACAATCATTAGTATCTTGTAATTAAAGATAAGTACTTAAGACAAGTAATTAAAGATAATAATTAAATAAAATAAAAAATAATAATGAAGATAATTAAAGATAATTTGTCAGGCATTTTTTCCAACGTAAGCATCAATAGCGATGCACAATTTCTCCCACAATTCCACAAGATTGTTTTCCGTCAAGACAAACTTGCAAAATTCTTTTAATGAAGATTTTCTTCAAAAAATTCCATTCCTAAATTAATTCCGTTTCTAAATTAACAGTATTTTTTATCATTTATAGAATGATTTTGATCAAATTCACAATTAACTTTAGCGATCAACTTAATCAGAAATTATAAAATTTTTATTATATAATTTGTAGTCCCTAATCTAATCTAATATACATATGTGTGTATGTGCATGTGTTAAATGGCAAAAAATCAATAATTCTATATATTATATAAAATTTTGTTATATAACAAAATATTGGAGATACTATTTGACAATTACATTTAAAATTAATTGTCGATAAAGTTAATCAAAATTTAATCAAAATCACTGCTATAGTTTCTCTTTATTCAGCAATACTAATTGTAAAAGATAGATAATTTACCTGTAGACTTTACTGTAAAGAAATGTTCAATCTGCCACGTCAGGTCCAAAAATTTCATTGTCCATTGAAATATCATATAGCTTTTTTCTATATCTACAGATGAATGTACATATACTAATATACCTCTGTTTTCCTGAGTACATTGCTCAGTGCTTGCATATTTCTGTATTTCTAAACTGTGTAGAATTTTAAATCTAAAGATATTCTTTTCGTTATAATCAGAAAGTGCTAAAAAGAAAATAGCTTTTACCGATGAATAATATTTATATGATCATTATAATAATCTTATTGTGATTACTTACCGAACATAAGAAGAGAAAAGTTTTTCATATTTGTAATTTTCTGAAACCAAGGAGATATTTCCAATATATAACAATCATGGATATCTTTATTGAAATAATATATTATTTTCTTGATTTTAAAATCATCATTTAAATTCTGAAAAAAAAAGAAATAAATAAAAAAAAGTTGCACAAAGAATTACGTATTTTATAGGCTGCGTTTAGAATCACCTGATTGTGAGTACCTCCGTGTATAATCTTATCTTTGTTTAACATTGGATGAACAAGAATAAAACGATACAGGGAGTCACTCAGGTGATGTTTCCAAACGCAGCCCTATACATATATATAACCCTCCTTGTATATACCTTCAAAATTACTGTTAATTCAATATCAAAGGAAATTGTTTTTGTTATTACTTTAACTATATATATATAAACATCATCACGTAACAATTTTCTATCAACATTTTCGAATGTTATTTTCATCACTTTAGCTGTAACTTCACACAATTTAGCTTTGTACTTGATAGATAAGGATTCTGACAGTTTGTGATCTTCATCATCAGGAAACACCGTGCTACAATCATCCATAGATCGTAGTTTATCCATAGGCAAAAATAAAAAATTTACACAATTACAAGTTAATTACGTGTTAAGATCGTTTAATTCTTTACGTCCATTTTCTTCTTGATCCTTCAACCTGTCTCTCAAGTAAGTAATCTTTTTCAGGAGTTGTTCTTTCAGAGCACGCAATTGTATTATGTCTTCGTCATCCATTTTTTTGTTTACGATGTCTTCGTTACTTGTTTACACTTTACACTCTCTTCGTTACGTAATGGAAGTAAAATTTTGGTAATTACGGAGATGACGGTCGACCTCACCGATTTTAACGAAATTAGGCTCATTCGATGCGTTTTTGCATGAAACGAACGAATCTGGCAAAAATAAGCGTCGTTCTGCCCCGCGAACCGAGATATTTAGCGTTAAAGTTCACGACCGTTCAGGTTAGGAAATCTGTCATACCGACTCGATATAAGCGCTATGAGTATGCCTTTTCATGCTCTGTGACTTAATGCGCATGCGTTTAGCGATTCTTGGGTCCAATAGTGCACGAAATTTAAAATTAAATTAAAAAATGAATTAGTTACTTGTGCAATGTTTCTATTATACATAGTTGTATTCCAAATAAATCATAACATATGTGGACAGTGGAGTGTGTAGACAGTAACGTTTGGGTTCGGGGCGGCTACGCCGCCCCGAACCAAAAAAAAA